GAGGGAGGGAGGGAAGGATGGGCAGGGAGAAAAGTGCAACAATGAGTGAATGGAAATCCAAAGTTTCTGTAAATTTTCATTTAATAATAAAATGGGAAGTGATCAGATTGTGACGTAATTTTAAACTTGATATGGACAGCGACTAAGGATGATAGAAGGCGAATTGATGTCTTTGAGCTGTGGTGCTGGAGAAGGTAGTGACTATATCATGGACTGCTAGGAGAACAAACTAGGTTCGTCCTAGAGAGAGTGAGACCAGACTGCTTCTTGGAGGCAAGGATTCAGAAGCTTCATCCGACATCTTTGGACATGTTGCAAAGAAGGACCAGTCCTTGGAGAGGGACGTCGTGCTTGGAAGGGTGGAGGGACAGGGCAAGATTGGAAGACCCTTGATGAGATGGACTCAGTGACTGGGGTAATGGGAGTAAGTGTGTCAGAGACAGTAAGATTGGCTCAGGACACAGCAGGATTCAGAGCTGTTGTATATCGGGTCGCTGTGAGTCAGAAGCAACTTGAAGCCAATTAACACCATGGTATCCTGACAGTCACCTTGACACGGCATGGTGCTGATGAACCTGAGTTCGGTATTTGTGGAGCTGTCAGGAGTGTGGCTCCTTAGAGACCCAGCTCGGCTCCTCTCCAGTGTCTCCGAGGTCCAGTATGTGTGCTGCTGCCATCAGGTGCACCACTACTTAGAGACCCAGCTCGGTTCTTTAAGTCTGTGACGTTTGGTGCCATCGTGTTTGCAGCTCCTTAGAGACCCAGCTCGGTTCTTCTCCAGTGTCTCCGAGGTCCAGTATGTGTGCTGCTGCCATCAGGTGCACCACTACTTAGAGACCCAGCTCGGTTCTTTAAGTCTGTGACGTTTGGTGCCATCGTGTTTGCAGCTCCTTAGAGACCCAGCTCGGTTCTTCTCCAGTGTCTCCGAGGTCCAGTATGTGTGCTGCTGCCATCAGGTGCACCACTACTTAGAGACCCAGCTCGGTTCTTTAAGTCTGTGACGTTTGGTGCCATCGTGTTTGCAGCTCCTTAGAGACCCAGCTCGGTTCTTCTCCAGTGTCTTCTCTTGGAGTGGTATTTGATTTTATTGCTAGTTTTAATTGAATCATCTGAGGGATGGGATGGGTCTGCTTTTGTTTCTTGGCCAGGAGCTTCTTAATCCTGAAAGTCGTTTTGGTTTTGTTTTGAATGCACTTCCTTTATTGATGACGACAAACAAAAAGAAAAAAGACCAAATGTAAACCCAGGAGGCTAGAAATACAAACTCAGTTCATTCAAATTCAAGCACATCCAGACTCTGGGACAAACTTAGGAGCTTCTGTGCACAAAGTGAGGGACAAGGGACAGGATTGTGTCGGAGACCCAGAGAAGGTGTGGGAATGAGTGGGACTGGGAAGACCTTACAGGCCCCCATCTGTCTGGCTCCCATGTCACCCCTGAAGGGGTTCTGAAGGTCAGTTCCCAGCAGTTCTACCCTCCCTTGTTCAAGCCTCGGACCTCACTCTCCTTCACCTACACATTCTTCTCTGATTAGGAGCAGGGGAGGTTTGTATGCACTGTGGTGAGGCTGCGGGCCAGCAGAAGTGGCGTGGAGATGAGGTGAAGAGAAGCCCGAGCTGTCCAAGGACCCCTGTCTTCAGGGGATCCCGGACTGCATGACCACTCCTCCTGCGCGTCTGCTCGGATCCAAGGAAGCAGACTGTCGGCATAAGCAGCTGTCCTCGAGGCCTGCTGTCGGGGTCCGCTGGGGTGACAGCGGCGGCAGCGTCTTCCAGTGGGGCAGCTGCTCACAGCAGAGCTGCGCGGGAGCTGCCCCGTCGTGCCCTCTCCCTGTTCTCTCCCTGCCCAAGGCGTCCACGGCACACACTTCAGTGGTGCTGCCAGCTGGCGAGGACTAGCACAGGGCCCGCTCGTCTGGACATGCAGAGGGCAAGCCGTGGCAGGTGGGCTCGGCTCCATTGAGGGCTTTGGTGGGCGGACTGCTGGGATCTAACAGCGGCTGCCACACCTCTCGGTCCCAGTCCGAGTCTTCGCTGGCGCTGCTGGAGCGGCACCCATGGCAGGGGCCCGGCTGGGCTGCTCCGAGGAGTCACGGGGTCCATCAGGGGCCCTTCTCATCAGATGGCCCGTGGTTGCCTCCTGCAGGCAAATGCCGCCTCCACCCCACTCCTTAGTATCCACCTCCAGCAAGCTCCTCAGCCCCTGCCGATCCTGAAAATCTTATGAGAAGACACAGTGAAGACAAAACAGGGCCAGATGAAACACGATGGCGGAGGAACAGAGAGCTCTTAGGTGTTCGTTAAACCCACTGCCATCGAGTGCCTTCTGACTCCCCGTGACGCCTCAGCGAGCTTCTGGAGCTGTCAGTCTCTCTGGAAGGATGTTGTGTTGCTGTTGTGTGTGTCGAGTTGGAACTGGCTCACGGCTGACCATCCAGCGAGTTTTCAGAGGCAACAAATCACATGGGAGGAGATTGCCCAGCCTTCTCCAACAGAGAAACTGGTGGATTCCAACCACGGGCCTTTGGGATTGCAGCACAGCTTCTGAACACCAGACCTCTTTTTGGAAGGATGCTACCCATTTTTCTTCTGTGGAGTAATTGTTGTGCAAACTTCTGGACTTTCAGTTACCATCACCATGGAAACCTTACTATGCTTATTGCTGTTGTAACTTTAGGATGCGTCCTACTGAGGTAAACCCTGGTGTTATGTGCCTCTGTGTCAGAACCAGTGCATAGCAGAGCCCCGTAGGTTTTCTGAGCAGTAAGTCATCCTGGAGGAGAGCGCCTGTCTTTCTCCTTTGGAGCAGCCGGTGGATTTGAACCAAGTGCCTTTGGGTTGACAGTGCCAACTTCTTAGCACTGCAATACTTAAAAGTTTCAGAGTGTTTTGAGATTCTCTAAGAAGTGGTAAATTTCATTGTAATTCTGTACAGAAGGGCTACTTTGACCACGTACAGCTGTGACTTGGATTCTTTACATGCTTTTGATTACTCCAAACAGATGAGCAATTTTTGAGACCAGGTCAGCTAATGACACCTGTTTCAGCTGTGGTGTTGGTATGGAACATTTTTTGGGGATTTAAGTGAACCTGCAAAAAAGAACCAGCTGCTGCGTCCTCTTCCTGAGCTTATTTTTCTGATTCTAAGGGTGGATGTGAGCTCTGAAGACACAGTGTATAAACATATAAACATCGCCTGGCTCTTTAGAAGTGGAATAGCTCAAGTCTAATAGTGAATCCAGTCTTTCACAGTATACAGGGCTTTGTGTGGCTGGATTTGATTTGAGAAATAAGACGGTATTAACTCCTGTGTTTATTTTTCCTCTAGACAGCAGAGGGAAGCAGAGTTCTGAAGGAAATAGACCACTCTAAGTTTTATTCTTCCCAGTTTCAGGTGGCCGGCCTCACCTGCAGGGTCCTTAGCATCACCTTGTAGAGGTGCTAGCACTGCTCACTGCCCTTGTCTTCATTTGCTCTGGAGAACCAGGCAGAGCTGTGCAGGTAGCACTTGCTCAGCCTTCAGAATTTAGGACCAGCAGGCTGTGGTCTTTGTTATCACTTGTTAGGCATCAGAGAGTTGGACAGTGACCAAGGAGGATAGAAATAGAATTGATGCCTTTGAGCTGTGGAGCTGGAGAAGAGTATTGAGGGTACCATGGACTGCTAGGAAAACAAACAGATTCATCCTGGAGAGGGTTAAACCGGGTGGCTCCTTGGAGGTAAGGATTCTGAGGCTCTGTCTAACATACTTTGGACATGTTGTGAGGGGAGACCGGTCCTTGGAGAAGGACATCATGCTTGGGAGGGTGGAGGGACAGCATAGGAGGGGAAGACCCTCTATGAGGTGGATTGATTCAGTGACTGGGGTAATCGGGATGAGTGTATCAGGGATCGTGTGATTGGCACAGGACAGAGCAGAGTTCAGGGCTGTTGTACATAGGGTCGCTATGAGTCACAAGCAACTCAACAGCACATAACAACAACAACAACAACAAAGGAGCCCTGCAGCCTGCAATATGATTGAAGCTCCACATCAAGAAAACAGAGATTCTCACCACTCAGCCAGCTGGCAACTTCATGGTAGATGGTGAAGAGATTGAGATTGTCAACAGCTTCAGTTTGCATGGCTCTAAAAATTAACACTCTTGGTACCAGCAGCCAGGAAAGGAAAGGACTAATTGCATTGGGAAAGTCTGCTGTCAGAGACCTCTCCAAAGTACTGAAGAGCAACGATGTCAGTCTGGAGAAAAAGGTGCTCCTGATACAGGCAACGGTCTTTGCAATTGCTTGCTATGCATCAGAAAGCTGAATAATGACTAGGGATGAAAGAATGAGAATTGATGCCTTTGAGCTATGGTGCTGGAGAAGAGTGTTGAAAATACCATGGACTGCTAGGAAAACAAAGAAATCCTTCCTGGTCTCAGGCTTCGTCTGACATACTTTGGGCATGTTGCAAGGAGGGACCAGTTCTTGGAGAGGGACTTCATGCTTGGGAGGGTGCAGGGACAGTGCAAGAGAGGAAGACCTTCAATGAGGTAGATTAATTTAGTAACTGGGGTAGTGGGAGTAGGTGTGTTGGAGACAATAAGATTGGCATGGGATAGAGCAGGGTTTAAGGCTGTTGTACGCAGGGTAGCTATGAATCACAGGCACATAAAAACAACAATGACAAGAAGGAGCCCTAGGTGTTCAAAGTTAATGTCTTCATATTATTGGCAGACCTCCACTAATTTCCTTATACCACTTCTGTTTTTTTCTGAAAATGTACCAGTGTGTGCGATCCAGCTGATAGAAAAGTACTGTTATTTTCCATACATTTCTTACCATTTAAATTTTTGAAATAAATTTTTGGAAGTAGAACAAGGTTATTTGGTAAAAATGCCCTGAATGATCAAATCACCCTCCTTAAATGACGCTGGGTATCGTACGCACGGAACTCGTGTGGTTCTCGAAGGTGATGGAGATGAATACCCTCTTGCATCTGGTGACCTTGTTCCGCAGGCCATGAACCGCTCCCTGGCCAACGTGATCCTCGGAGGCTACGGCACCACCTCAACAGCCGGGGGCAAGCCCATGGAGATTTCCGGCACGCACACCGAGATCAACCTTGACAATGCGATCGACATGATCCGGGAAGCTAATAGCATCATTATCACCCCAGGTGTGAAACCCAAACGCGGACA